TGTGTTGTAAATTGCACGCCATATAGCTTGTAGCAAAACTTAAAAACTTGGAGTGAACGCAACGACTTACACAGCCAAATTATTGTCAAACGGCTTCCATTTCAATATGACACACACACAAGCAACCAAACATAGATAGCAGATGTCTGTCGACTCTCTATAAAACGGAAAAATTCTGGCAAATATTATACTCTCAAGCAAACCAAGTGTTTCGGTTGTGAATTGCTAATTTAAATCTACCCGTAAACGCCCTGGCCTAAGGAAGGACAGCCGACAGTTTATGTACAATCTTGACACAATGAGACGCTAAAGTTTCATCTGGCGAATGGAAATATTCTTGCCTGACAGTTGAACGACAATTTTTTCATCGTTGATGTTACCGATATCTTAAACCTTATTTTCACCCCTACATCCTTGAATCGGTCTTAATCGTAGAGATATGCAGAGGAAAGTCGTTTCTAATTTCTTAATTAACCGACTTGTACTGGCTCCCTGGAGGTATCAAATGTATTGAATTACATACCATGTAATTGTAAAACATTTGAGAAATTCGGTTAGTTAGCAAGCATACATTTTGCAGAGACGAAAGAAACAAATTTCACTTTGTATGACTTTGGAATATATATTTGGGATATATTTTGGAATATATTTGGGTATAATCCATGACCTTTTTTCCATTGTGGAGTACTGCATAACCCTTATTCTTGGTTGAAATGAATAATCAGCTTTGAATTGACACACCCATTTAAGCATTAACAGTTTTCACGCTTAGCTGGTTTAATGTTTCTAAGGCAATATTTAGTTCGTGAAGAATGCAAACACTAAATATAAACTGAAAGAAAAAAATCGTCTCACCACCGATTCCCCGGGTATAATTTCGATTTCATATTCTGGAAGAATGTCTGTGTTGTCATGAATGTCTTTCAAGGCCAGCTTGGCTGCACGCAAGAGGGCCAAGTCCTGCGAGTACGGGCCGCCGAGTGGGGACAACCCGAGAAGGTATATCAGAGCTACTTTGGCACGTATACTGCCCGCCACATTATGAAGTGTAATGTCTTCTATTAAATATGCTAGGTCGAAGTTGTCTTCTACATTTACATGCGTCATCAATTTGAAGTCTTTATCGAGTGTAGTTCAGTAAAAGGAGCAGGTAAAGGGTAACGATTGCAGGATTATTTTCAGGTTGTCTTCACCAATCGGAGGCATTAATTTGGCTGTTCTTGAGATTTCTACCAACATCCAAAACGCGCCAAGCAGGGTTTCAGCAACTTGCGTCATCCTCCTTTGTCTACACATTGTTTGTGCTGTCTCCCTTTTCCCATGTTCTTACTGACATTATGAAAGTGCCCTGGTACTTACGCTTTCTGAAATAGACCAAGGCTGAGAGGGATTTCAGTAAATTCCCCTGAACCGATCTCCACTGTTATTTTTTTCTATCATTGACATGCTCCAAACAGGTAAAAATCCAAACAGAAAAAGGATGTACTCTCTGAGGAGGGCAGATTTCAAGATCCCATTCAGATACGTGTATACTTGTGGATTTCTCTGCACCAGGGTTGGAGGGGCAACGATACTTGGTCTGTAAGAAATAACAAAACGAATATAGTAACAAAAAGTAGTAATAAATAAAGATGTTTGATTATTGTAGACATTAATCTTGAAATTGACAAAAATGAAATGGTGAGAGGCTATGATTACCGATTACACTCTGCATTCACGTTCCCTTCGTTTTTAGGTTTGCGTCTTTCAAGCCTAAACTTAAATGAAAACTTCAGACAGGTCGGCTTTTGTTATTTGTAAGATAGTACATTAAAATATTCGAAGCAATTAGTTTTAAATTCAACAATAAAGAATCCGGTTGACTGAAAGCTTGAAAAAGTTCAAGGTCGCCAAAGAAGGCAAATTGTAATGTATACCAAACAATTAGACTTGTACCCAGTGTTGGACATCATTGTTTTGATTTTCAAGCCTAATATTTTTATACTTAACCATCAATTATCTTAGTATTTTTTTTAATAGCATCTCTTAATATTCAAAGCAATAAGTAAATCTCAAAAACAATGATGTAGGGTGGAAAAACTTGCATAATTAATTTGTAACAACTAAATTATGGACCCGTATAATAAATTAATTGGATTGGCTGTGAGGTATTTCCCTCATGTTTAGTTTTCATGGCAAAGAAAGACAAAATCGGATATAATTATTCATTAATATATAATATGTCACGTTTGATATCGACATATTGAAGTTTGGTGATATTTTGCCAATTTATCCCCCAACCCGACGCTAGAGAACATTTACATGCATTTGAGTATGATTAGATTCTTCCTTAGAAAGTGCATCACAACTTGTTTTCTTTTTCCCTGTTTGGGCTAAAGATTGAAATAAATAACGGTGACGATCATTTGGGGCCGCACTCCAAGTCCTCCAAACCTGCAGGCTAAAATATGATAGTGTGACAGCAAGAAAAACCACAATTTTCTGTGTGAGTTATTTTATTCATTCTAACAATAATAAAAATCATCAGAATAAGCGAAGAGCTCTATGAATTGAATTTACTTCTAATACAAAATGTTGTCGAGTAAATTTTCGAAAATGGAAATAATAATTGTAATTTGAAATTTATTAAGTTACCGAACAAACCGGAGTGGCGACATTAACATCCATGAATTATGAAACCTTTAGATAAAGTATCAGAAAAGAATAAAAATAGAAATATGGAACGAAATCCTCAGCGAATTGCGCAGCGTTGCGCATCTTCTGACACTATGCCTTTGAAAGATGTCCAGTGTAGCGCCCTTTGTTAAACCTTTTTTTCTGTTTTAAACATTGTCGTAAAGAATTGTGACCCAGATTTATATTAACCATAACCCGTTCTTATAAATGAGAAAAGGCCACATTTTTCATTAACCGCTTCAATCTTTATGTTTCCTTCACACGCACACAATACAGTTAGATTCAAGCGTCTAAAAGAGGCCCAAACTGCCTGTCTAGACCTTTCTTTGCTTTTAAGTTGATTAAAACCCAAATTGAATACAATGAAGTCCCCTAACCACAAATTCATGCAGTTTAATATTGGTTTTATTATCTTCAAAGTAAATGCTATTGAAACTAAGTGAGCAATTCCTTAACCAGGTGCACCAGAACAAATCTCAGAAATCCCATATTGGCATTTAGGAATTCTTTAGTGTTGATATAACATTAGTTCCTTTAGCATATCCAACACCAAAAATAAATTATTTTCCCTATTTTGGCAAATTTTGATTCGCACTTTGTAAAACAAAATGGCAAATCACGCCAAAATAGGATTGAGTTTAAATGTTGTAGCAGATTGGTAAACACACGATTCGTGATTTACAAAGCTGAAAACTTAGTGAAATTTCATTTACTGTATATTATAAGGTAAAGATACCGCTCTAGCAAGGCAATCGAGGCGAAAAATCAAACTGCGCCAATACCTGTGCTGACAAAAATATGTTCGTGATCTCTATACAAAAAGAGCAAATTATTTAGCAACTGAGGTATTAAAATAAACCTGTAGTGAAAGTTCAAAAAATATGTCTTACTTTTTTATTTTAGTGGACCTGGCGCGAGGGTATGATCCCAGTTGACCAAATAATCGACTTGAAATATGCAATTAAACTGTGGGATCCGTTTATAACTGGATATTATTGTCAATCTCTTTTCATTTAATAGGACATTTAACAATAACACTAGCAAGGAATCGTGCAAATACAATGTTTATTAAGGCATGAAATCTTGATCGGTAGCCTTTCTTTCAAGATGTTCTTGACTTTCTTCTTTAGTTTTCTTTCAAAGGTGACAACTTTACTCATTGCAGTCAAATAATCTCAAAACTGTTTGTCTGCGACAAAACTATCGCCAGCGACAGTAAACGCCATTTCTAACGGGCTTTACTCTAGCATCGTAATGCTTCACAGCACAACTACCAACTATCGCAAAGAACAGCGCTGTAGATGGCTCCGCAATCATCGCGCAGGACACCAGCTGGCTATGTACATTGGACATGCCCTCTGATTATATGCACTGTCACTACAATAACCCCATGCCCTTTTAGCGAAGAAAACATGCTGACCTTTGACAAATGTTGAGGAAATGTTAGGCCTACTGTCGTTTGATGTGCTTGTAACCAAAGATCTGTACAGGTCATGGGCACTGATCGGAAGGCTTTAGATGGTTGTTAGCCACTACGATCCACTCACTGCTTGTCAAAGCAATGCCAATTAGCTAACTCTTTGATTACCCTTCGACATCATCTGGTGATGGGGAGAGGTCACTATTCAGCCGAAGCTCATTGCCAAACGCCTTGACTTCCTTTTGTCTGTGACATGAAGCGGATCATCAAAAGTCACAGCAACACCAAATGGATCTTACAACCAACGCCGATCAGATCCGTAATCAACCAATGTTGAACATCAACAACCGTTGCTGATCAGTATGTGTAATGTTGTGTTAGGAAACGGATAAAACCATTCAAAACGACTTAAACCTCAGTCTCCTTTGCCTGCTTCATTGGTCTTCCATTCTTAGCCCCACTGGTGTGGCACGGACCCTCGCTCCCGCTCCATCCTTAGTCTTTTGCCTTTACCCAGCCCGCAGACGGCTGTTCCATGTAAAAAACTGTACCAACAAATGAACTTACCTGCACAATTGCTCAGTCCGCGAGACTTCAGTAGTATATTAGATATGTCTTGACATGGTACAGCCGTCTGCAGACCAGGGTCCAGTGACTTAAAGTTCAACAGACTCATTTTAATTTAAAGATGGCGTCTGAGAGTGGGACCCTGAGATTGAATGGGTAAAGGCAAAAAGACTGGAAAACACTAGAACAACGTGAGTAAAATCATTCAATAAATGGTCATTCGAGAGTGGAGAGACTAAGGATCATTTGTGCGCGCCGAAAAAAAATTGCACCTACGATTATAGAGAGGGAGCGCCGAAGATTTCACCACACCGACACGAAATTGCGTATACGGATGTGTGGCTAAGGATGGAGCGGGAGCAAGGGTCCGTGCCACCGTGACACTACATGTAGTGGGGCTATTCCGTTCTCACATCAGTCTACTCACCACACGTGTTAGAACCCACGCGGCTTATTACAATTATGCAAGTGACTTTCCAAGCACAACTATACTAATAACCTTTCATTATTTTTTATAATCTTCCATTACATAATGAACGTGTACAGTCCAAGTTGTGCATCTCGTTTGGATCAAGCTCTAAAAATTCAAAACCATCAGCATGTTGCATCAAGTCATTTAGGGACACGATTATCATTTTGGTGCGTGTCATTTGTTCATAGTTTGTACATCAGTGCCTTTTCCAACTCCACGGCTCTATCTTGATCGATGTGGTTTACCTTGGTTTTTCGGTGATATTTTCCAAAATTAGAAACAAGGCTGAGGCCTTGTTTCTAATTTTGAAAATTCTGTTTCTGTTCCCAAATTTTATTACGATCCCGACTACATTCTCTGCTGATCTATTTCTTGCCGTTTGAGGAGAAGACTGTCACACAATGTGTCCAAAAGGCTCAACGGACTCGTCCAATTTTGCGTACGTGCATATGTAGTTGTGTTCTACTGATCGATGGTGTTCCGCGAAACATTCAGATTAAAATGTCGCAGGGGAAAAAATAAAAACAAAGCAAGCAATCGCTATAAATCTTACAGTTTGGGATGAGGTGTTTACAATTAACAGGTGGAAAGGCTTGCGGTTGCACCTTGCGAAGGAATATATCTCTCTTATTCCTTCGCATGTTTCTATCGAAAGCCTTTAATTCCACCTGTTGCTGTCCTTCACCATGGATAGCGTGAAATTCCATCTGGGTTTACAATTGTTTGTCACTGTGTCTTTCTTGTTTTATTGGAATGTTTAACTTTGATGACTCAATGGTATTTTGTAAAGTCAAAAGTGTCATCTGCTTCTTAGGGCTTTTTGCAAATGTTTTTTACGCTCTGTGACATCTTGAGATGGCTTCTGCGCTTTCACCGAGACTAACTCATTGTGTTGATAAAGCCCGCTATCTTTAGGTACATTTTCAATACAGAACAGAATAGAATGGAAACTGGAACCCAACTAACACATACAATATGCATCTGTCAAACTGCCAATATAATTGGCCATGTATATACACCACAACAAGATGTCTCAAAGGCTAAGATACATGCAAATATAGTCATTTCTGGAGGTATGATTTGCAATGTGTTGTAAAAATCTGGAATAAATAAAAATTGTCAAGTAAAATAAAGTTCTCGATGAGGGAACTGGATGTTACTGCAAGCAAATGTACTCAAAGATAGGCCTACTCTGTAACCATCCCCCCCCCAAAAAAGTGGGCGATGAGTCAAGAAATTCTCCAACTGTTTTATACACCATTGTAGACTGTATCTATAGGCTATTGTCAACCATCAATGGGTTTTCTGCAAACTGGAATCCGTCGTCACAAGCCTAGAGTGCATCTGGGCAGCATCTCTCTGAATCTGCCTGGGACTTTCTTCAGGGTCCTTCGGAAATAAGACAGAAGAGCAAATTAGTATCATTAGATCTGCATGTTGTGAACACAACAAAAGATCAGCCAAGTCTACTATGGCCAAGCCCTGCTCACTCGCTTCCATCCTCCCCAGCAGGGCCACAAGTAAACACACCTGTAACCCAGCTGACGCAGATACACCCGCCTCCGCCGAAATAGCCGCAACCCGGCCCATCCGAACCTTACAACGACCAGCTTAAGCAACCAAAGCCCAATTTTGCCCAAGCCTGTCCAAATCCACACAGCGCAGACCAATACCCAGTTAGCGGTTAACTGGGGAGAGGTTTCTAGGAGCGCACAGTGGGACCCATCCATACTTTTTCCAAGGGCATTCGTTACACACACATATATATATAGGATCTGTATATTGACCATATATGAGGGGGCTTTGGAAGACTCAGAATTCCGTGGGGGGTACATGTACCTGTAAATATCCAAATATTGGTTTTGAAATCAAGTCGATAATTGGTCGGGTGTACCACCTTTCTCGCAATGCGTACGCGATGCAGTTCGAGTTTAACAACCGCATAATGGGTCAGTGCAACCTCATTCCCCAGTTTGCGTGCCGGCCGGGCGGTGCTCCACCGATGTATATTAAAACAATCTGGACTGGCAATGCCCTTAATCAGCTTATAGAGATCACTGAGTCCACTAGCGGCCATTTTACCGAGCCAAATATACAAAGCTTGCCCGTCCATGCGGTGCCCAATCACCGACTTGAGCAATCTGCAAGCCCTTTTGTGCAAAACATATAGGCTATCAAAATTGGACGGAACAATCTGATTGGCTAAGAATCACGATTTATTTTAGGGGAAGTTTGATTGGTTAGTTGACCGTTTATTAGCAACAACCTGTAGTCTCGTTCACTGAAGAGGGCGTTCACATTATTCTAAAAACATGATTTACCATAAAAGCATCGTACTTTTCCCCAAACGGTAATTACTAGGTTTTTTCTTGAACAGTATGTACACTTTGTCTTTAAGCTTTGTATTAAAAAGGATATTACGGCAAAATAATCAAATGTAGACATCCCTATATATAATGGATGAGTCCGTTATGTAGCGTCAGCCGTGTTGGCCACGGACCTATATAAAAAAAACCTGGAATTGCAACGCCTTTGTATGAAATAGAAGCCAACCAGCGGCCATTTAACCGAGCCGAATACAAATGCGTGGGTTGGCTCCCTTCTATTGACGCCAGGGAGAACAAAAGTGGGCATTGCCGGGCAAAATTGTATTCGGCTCGGTAAAATGGCTGCTAGTGGATTCAATGATCTCTATAAGCTGATTAAGGGCATTGCGAGTTTCTTTAATATACGCCCGTGCTGTTGACGCTCTCAATGGGAAAGTATGAATATGCCGTGCCATCATTGACGCATGCGTGAATATCCATCCAGTCAGGTTGATCAAGTCGTTATGCGGGCGCCGAAACCCGGCTCTGAACAGCCCACGATCACGCGTGGCATCCGGGCCGAATCACCGCGGCACCTTGGATCACCGGCGGCTAAGGTGAACAGGCTTAGCACTAACTGTAAAACGACGCAGCAAGAAATGAGGCATAGACCAAAATTGACTCGCTAAGTCCAGGAAATTCCCAAACCAGACTCTAAAAGGCTCGACCAATAGCGCTCCTGTATCGTTGTAGAAAACTCGAGATCTTTAGGAATCAGTACATAGGCCAATCCGATTAGATAAATCTTGTACACTCAGAAATTCCCAAGGAACGCGTCTTGTTCGGTGCAAGTAAAAAAAGATTATACTTTTGGCAATGCCACCTCCAAAATGGAGAACTCCTACAGTGAAAATTGTTTTAAGTCTGAACGCGGAAATACCGGCTTCGTATTTTCCTCCTTCAACCGGATTACTTCCTGACGAAGTTCTTGAAGCTGCCTCTCCAACTCTGACGTATTTGCGTTCCCCTCGTCTCTGGCTGCATGGGAGACGATGGGGTTCTGCGCTGGGCGGACATCATTTCGCATCCGTATCTGAGGGAAAAAAGTAGGGAAAGACAGGAATAAACTAACTAGTTCAAAGTAGACATTGCATCAAAAACCAAAACGTTTACAAGTGAAATAATTTACAGCATTATATGTTTTTGTATTCACCTAGCTACCTTCATTGATGTAAAAGGATACCTTTGGGATGAACAGAACACACAGTGTTAAGGTAGTTGCCAGCCAGATGAAAAAGGCCGTGAGAGCATACAGAACATTTTGCTCCTCCACAACGTAGGAAACCGTCACACCAACGATAGATAAGATCAAGACATTATAGACACAGACACCTGTGGAGCACCGATCACATAAAGTGAGGTGTCATTATCTTCCAGGATCTTCGCCCAACTTAACACTCGTTTAGGTTTGGCTCAAAGAGAAGAAACTATATAATTTATATATAACTATATATGTATATAAATATATATTATATATGTATATAATTTGTTGTCTTCTGGAAATTCACAGCTCCTATGGACTTCAACCATTTTGCTTCGCAGCATCAAACAATTGAATACCCACCAAATCTTTATAACGCATGTAGACTGACGAAATTCTATGACGTTAGACATTTTCTATCAGCACACAAACCTTGCGCAGATATAGCATATTAACTGACGAGCATTGGGGAAAACAGTCCAGCGTGTCCCCAATATAAAAAACAATATAATTAAACATGTTTTGTTATCTTACCAATATATTTAGAGTCGTTCAGAGCTGGAATGGAGACATTTCTAGTCTCCCAGGCCAGAATAGCTCCGACTAACAGCAGAATGCCATTGATGATGTAGAAGGCAACGACCCAGTAGGTCTGGTTGCGAGACGCACATAACACACGGATCGGCTTGTAAACAATGTCATCATTCTCGGGATCAACCTGGAAAAGAGGTCAGAACTGTCAAAAAAGAATTCATTTCCCCTCAGTTTTATTTGTCTTCTGGGGGCAAAAATTCCTTGACCATTTCATAAACCTTACCAGATTTCATGCAATGCCCTACTGTCCTTTTTGTCTAGTGTATCTAAATTAAATAATTTGAAGACATCTAAGTGAGAAGTGTACTGGCTCCCCTTGAAGGTCCTAAAAGTTCGTTCATCTATACCTTTACAAGATCATCTCTTTTTTTATCAAACCAGAACACCAGAATGCTAAATCATGCCTGCGAACTCCTAAATACATTCATTACTGAGTCTTCGCACACTTCCCACAAACCTCTTTGATCCTACATCTTTATTGAAAGGCTGCGCCTGAAACGGGCAACAGCCGTTATTATGTCCACCGGCCATGCGTGAACCAATTGGCATGACCAAACGTTGTTTCAGCATGGCTTCCCACCAAAGGCGGGTGGAACGCAAATGATCAAAGGGAGATGTGAAATAGAATGCGCTCAATGCACATGTAGCGAGTTGGTATTAATAAAGTGAAGATACACTGTCATAAAAACTCGGCAGTGCATGGCAAGATGTGGTAAAATTAGTGATAATTTGTACGGTAATTCATTAATTGTGTCTTTTCATGCTTTTCACGGGCAATCCGCTCTGAAATGTCACTCAAAAGTGAAATCCACATATTCTAAGTCCCTTGCCGTAAATACACTGGACAGCAACAGAAACTTGCCACTTCTGTCAAAGGCCACACATTAAATTTCACTTCATAGAAATAAACAATTTTTTGTACACAGGTGTGCTGCAATACCCCTTACTAATCACATGCCCAAAAGCAAGTGATTATCTTTACAACAAAGAAATTGACACGCACAGCAACTTGGTTACTGAATCAAACGTCACACACAAAAGCACTCTCCACCAAGCAAAAATGGCCCATGAATGGACAACATTCTAAACAACCAATGACAAAGCGAACACCTGTTTTGTCAAAATGATGTGGATGAGTGGTTTCTGTATAGGGATGCCATCCTTATGGACTATGCATACACATGATTAAAAAGTAACGATCGTGACTTGTTTATTTTGTCCTGTGACATTGATTTCTGTATAAGACTTACAGCTCAGTCTGTAACATTCTATGACTTCTGATTCAGTAACCAAGTTGCTGTGCATGTCAATTTCTTCTTTGTTATAAAGATAATCACTTTATTTTGTGGTTAGTAAGGGGTATTGCAGCATACCTGTGTACAAAAATTGTTTATTTCTATGGAATGAATTTTTATGTTTAGCCTTTGACAGAAGTGGCAAGTTTCTTTTGCTGTCCAGTTTAGTTAAATTCGCCTTTTATTGGAATAAATTTATCCAGAATCGGGAACATACCACTTCTTGGCCATGTATCAAGTTAGCACGCACAGAGTCGGTAGAATTCCATAAAATGAGTATAATGACATCAAGGATTATTAGTGCAGCTATAAAGATGAACAGTTTGCTGTCTTTCACGACCTGCAATTAAAAAAATTCATAATCAAAAACTGCAATTGAAATAAGGGTGTTTGTTGACCAGACAAAATATTCAAAATTATCCGAGAAATTGAATGTGAACTAGAAATTGAGAGTTTTTCAAAGAAATCAGACGGACCTAATTATTTGTGTTTTCATATATACATAATACTACGTAATGTGTTACTCGAGAGAACAGAAAAATGGCTAGTATGTTAAAAATTAGCAGTATATACGGTAAATAAGATCTATTAATTTGAACAAATGATTCTTACCAACTTCATTGCAGTCTTGTTGTTGAAAATCTTGTGCACCCGCCACGTTTTACTAAACATCGCCCCAAAGGCAGTTGAAAAGCCAATCGCAAGAAGCCACGTCTTTGACTGCAGTTCATGATAAAACAAACTGCTGGTATGACAGAGCCTTTTAACACATTGTAATTGGCAAACATACCAGTTCTTCAAAATCATCTGGCATATTGGTAGGTATATGATCATGCACACATAGCTCAACCTTGATAAAAAGAATAGAAAAGGACTGGTGTATAATGTTTGCTGTCCCCTATCGTCTCAAAGTCTCCCACTCGTTTTGTACATCTCTTTAATACGATCGAAAGGCATTTATATTTGGGGGGGTGTACAATCTGATAGATGCCTTCCAGTAGTCTTAAAATAGAACGATACTGTCCACTACCTCAAATTTACCAGTGTTTACCTTACACATCCACATAAATGTGTCAGTGGATGCTATGGCCGTATCCACTCCTTGGAAGATGATAGAGATATAGGCTAGCATTCCACCAATCAGCATCAAGTTGTTGATGTTGGGGCTCGACATCTTGATCACTCTGTAGGTTTAGAAATGAGCGAGCGAACATTTTGCTGATTGCTGGCAGTTGAGGAACACACATAATATGTATGGTACAGACAACACAAAAGAACTCGTAATCATTCTTTTAATCCTGCCATCCGAGGGCCTTTATGTTCTACATTTGAAATTTTGTCTGTAACTTGATTACTTACCGTCTAGTTCTGTAATGAATATTGAAAGCTAGGAAGAAACCAGCCAGTAAAATACCCAGCGTTGCAAACACAGTGCCCGTCACAAACACAGGATACAAGATTGTTTGTCGCACTTCCCTTTCGATGATGAAATCGATGGGGGGCTCACCACCTTAGCGAAATTGATCAACAAACTTCTACGTGTTTATAGCAAACAGTGCTGGGCGTTTTCAAAATTTTGCGCAAAAAATCCAGATCACAGTTAAATACAGCACTAATAAAGCCTTGTAACGGAATGTTTGTTGGGGTTTGCTTCGAGTCAATGAAAGCAGTGCACTATAGACCGACGAAAGAGTTTTAACTGTAAAATTTTGCCAACATGGTGAGTAATGAGTATGACATAAAACCCTTTTTTCATGTTGATGGTGCTGTATGGGAAATGTATAAATTACACACCATCTACCTGTGTCCGTATTACCAGTACTATTCAAAATAAAATGCATGTCTAAAATACATGTTTATAGCAAGTTCTTAAAAACGAGTATCTCTTTGCCTAAACAGGAAACAGATGACCAATTTTAAAGTTTAGTAAATGAAACAGGATCTTTCCTTTACCTGGCCAATGTATTGGATGGTAACCGTTCAAACTCAGCTCTTTTCGTGTACCAGTGGTTGTGTCCACAATACCAACAAGAATAGACTCGAGGTCTAATAGGAGGAACGCAAACTAAATCGGCTGAGTCAAACCGGATAAACAAAGTAATTACATTGTACGCTGTGTTTAAAAAAAAAGAAACCGTGATTAATTTCTTCATTTCTTGGACATGACTAAATATTTTGGAAATTGACAACCACCATTTGTTAATTAACTAATGATATCCTCTTTCTTATGACATCAAGAAATCCAATTTACTGTCACAGATAACTATACATGAAGCAGTTCAATCACTTATGTAAGAACTGTGTCTTGCACCAAAATCCGCAGCCTAACTCCGACATGACATTTTTCATACCTAAAAAGAAGAAAGACCAGTGTGTGTCCTTAAGAAAATTTTATTCAGTGATTTAACATTTGGGGGCTTATGCCTGTCTCACCTAACCCACTGTCCTTTGACATGCTCACCATTCCATTCAACAAAAGATTGAGCTCCGATTCTCAGTGCTCTGAATGCATTCCTGATTACGCCTGTCTCTTAAGGTCTCAGCTGCAGCGACGATTCTGGCACCGAGATATGCAACAAGGTATGAGACGAAAAGGAA